GGTGTGAGAGTCATCATTAAGATTTCATTCATCTTTGTATTTTTGTAATCATGAGTATTGTGTGAGTATGGTTTTCGGACTAGTGTTTCTATACTTACTGCAAGTTGTTTTATTGTTTCATTTGGTAGTCTACAAATTTCATCGCATAAAACTCTTTGATGTTGTTTGTTTCTTTCTGAATCAAACATTTTTGAGAATTCTTGTGTGAATCTTTTTCAATTTGATTTTATTACTATAGGTAAAACTGAAAACCATTTTTGGGCTGCGCCGTCAAGTTTGGTTTGGACTAAAGTTGTGCGTCTATGTATCCAATTTTGATGAAGTGGTGTGTTTACGTGTTTACTGATTCAAGTTCTATATTTAAATTTAAATTTGATGTGACTGCGTTTAGATACTCCTCTACAGAACATTCAGGATCTGTGCCTGTGAATACCATTAGTGGTTTATTTGATGTTATTGATGATCCGCCCATTAGGTACGGATTCATACTCATTTGTAGTAATTCTGCGGCATGTGGCATTTGCGAAAAATTTGTAAGTTGGCTTCTTGTTATTTGTTGTTGTTATTAATATGGCAAAGAAATTTCGTTAAGCATTTGAGTTGGTTGGTATGATTGTGTGTTAACTGGATTTGTTGTTGAAAATTATTGTTGTAAGATGTTGGATTATTTCTAGGTTGTCATATTTGTTCGTTTCGTGTGTATGGTTCGAAAATATCTGGTTGGTCAATTCTGTAAGAACGAGGTCTTTGGCTTGAGTAAAATCGCTGATGATTTTGTTTATAGTTTTCTTCATCATCTGATGGAAGATAATTTTGTGCATAATAATGAGGTTGATTTCTGGTATGGTTTTTATTTGTATTATTTTTAGTTTGTTGAAAAAATGGGTAATTTCCACTTTGTTCTTGTGAAGATCGTGGTTGATCATGAAAATTCACTGAGTTTAAAGTTGGTTGTGGTTTATTTTGACTTTGTGAAAAGAAGGAGTTTTTAGAATTTTTTTAGAAGGTTTTGTTGTTTTTGGTCCATTTACATAGTTATAATTATGTTCTTTTAAATTATTTCTTTGTGATGTTTCTTGTTTAAATCATGGTTTTGTTACCTGTCGGAACGTTGGATAATCCACTTGCAAATATTTTTGTGCAACGGAAGTTTTACTGTGGATTGTATGATTGTTTGTTGTAGCGTTGGGTTTTTTAGTTTTGGAGTTATAAAATTGGGTTGAATAGGTGAAATGCTTCATTGTGCTTTTGTTGTTGTTTTTGTTTCATTAATTTCTTTGCTCACAAAATGTGATGGGGTTTGTATATCTGGTTGTGTAAGATTTCTTGTTCCTTTTAAGTTATCATGATTTATAAATGAAGAAATTAAACTATTATTTCCTGTTCTTTCAGGGAAGAATGATTTATTGTTTAGAGGTGTTGCGTCAACTGTAAGTGGGTATACTCTAACATAACCTTTATTAATAGAGATAGTGCTAATTGCCTGACTTGATATAACTGTTGGTATACCAATAAATGATTCATGAGACCATTTAGGATCCCAAACTTAATCTGATTGTTCTGCTAGTACAGTTTCGTCATCTGTATTTTGTGGTCTAAAATTTTTTCTTGCTTGTTCAATAAGATCAATGTTGTGACTGAAATAATTGGTTATGAACCATGCTAAGATTTTTTGTAAATCGTGTTTAACATGTTGTGTTATTTCATTTTTGTTAGATCTTCTCAGTTTGCATTTAAAACTTTTGAAAATATATGTATTTCCTGTCGTACAATTGTATGTCGAGATGTTTGAGTAAATGAATCGCCTTGAGGTTCATTCAATTTCAATATAGATAAATAGCTATGGATAAAAGAGAAAACATCGTTTGTAAATATCGAGTTTGCTCTTTGTGAGTTTTGGTGCTGTATGCTTTTGATGTATTGTGTAAAAACGTTTAAAAATTCAACATCTACATCATCAGTTTGAATGAGATATCTGTCATGAAATGCATTTGGTGATCTGATTTCTACTGTGTAGAGTCCATATTGTGATGTGAGACTACATATACCTTTGAGATAGTGATCAAGAATAGGTATTTTGATTTTTACATCGAAAAATTCTTTTGTGCACGGACTATCTACTTTTTCGAATAAGTTTGCGATTAAGTTTTTTGACAAAATTTTACCTGTCCTCGAGGTTCAGTTAATGGAGATATTAAAAATGGAAGCACTGAATTTTCTGGGTTATCTTTATTTCGAATCATTTTTGTGTTAATCTACTGTTAATGTGTAATTTTCAATGTGTCTTATTGGTTGATTCAAATTGTACAAACGTATTGGTTTGTTTCTGTAGCAATTTTCTTTTTTATTTTACGTTTATTTTTTACTGAGGCTGGTGATTTGGTTTCTGAATTCAGTGAAATCTAGTTGGTCCTGAGTTTGGTGATTTTTGTTTATTGAGTCTTTTATGTTTTGAAGTTCTTGTATTGCGGTTTTTTCTGATTCTGAAACTGCGTTTCTTCGTTTTTAAAATCTTTTTCTAATAATTTGTTTTTATTTGCTAATTATTCTCTTTCTTAGTGTTTGTCTTTTTGTTCTTATGTATCATACTGATTGTCTGTGTGTTGTGATTATGAGGTTGTAATTGTCGTCGTTAATTAAACAATTGTGTATTATGATTTCTTGTTTGTTTCCTAAATTGTCTCTTGACATAAAATTTAGGATGAAGGATGCAAAATCTGGATTAGTGATTCTATTGACCTAAATTGTTAGTTCTTACGATTTTTTATGGTTAGTTTAATTCGGGTCGTACATTTGGGTTGGAGAGAAAAGCGTATATAGATTCCTGAGAATGGTTTGTATTTTCTCGTGACTAATTCTAGGCTAAAATAGACCTACCTAATCTTACTTAGGGGTTGTGATTTGTGAAGGGTTGGAGAATAGTAAATCGATCCACAAGGTTCAGGTATTTTAAGAACGCAAATAGCTCGTTAGATACTATTTTATGACTTACTAAGCTTAATTGTTTAAGCCTGGGTCATCTAAGAGGTAGGGAATCAAGTGAAGGATGAGTAACCGAAGTTCTTCACTGTTTATCTTTTGAAAATGGTTAGTTTTTGAGATTTGGGAAGTGAATTGACATTTGAGGTCATTAGACACTAATTAATTTTGGAGGGGGAGAACAAAGTTGTTCTATTTGATCCAAGGATAGGCTTTGATGATCAGAGATTTAGATATTTAGAGAATAAAAAATTGAGATGTAGTTTATTTTAAAGATCCAAGTGAAGCCTTGATGAACTGTTATCTAAATGAAACTGTTTTAAGTGACAGCAAGGGTAAGGCATGATAGTTTAAAATTAGAGGGTTAAGGTTAAATTTTAGTTTTGATGATTGTTAGTTTTTGAAATTCGCTGTTATGTTTTAGGTGATAAAGCTGGGATGATGAGATGAGTTATATATACTAACATTTTATGATTTATACTAACTAATTTTTGTAACATTATATTCAATAAATATTTTTCAAGATGTTATTTAATTTACAGCTGATTTAAGGAAAACGACAAGTGTTGTTTTTATCAGTCGTTTTTGTACGTTTATTAGGTTTAGCGCCATGAAAGATTATTGAAGATAGCTCTTTGAGTATTATGTCAGTAAAAGAAAATTTAAATTTACTGCTGGTATGATCCTGAATACAAAAGTTTGATCATTTTTTTGTCGTACTATCATGAAATCAATTGGTAGATTTCTTCCTAATTGTATGTCGTCTCTTGTTCAACGTCTTCTTCCAATACCGGGTAGTTCTCGTATTGATCGGAATATTGGATCTGATCTATTGAGGCGTAGAGACATATCTACTAAGTTGTTGTCATACAACATTTTTGAAATGTTGTTTTTGTCTAATTCTAATCTAACTTTTGCCTAATTCTAGGTTAGTTAAGGTTTGTTAGAGACTTTTGGTCGCACCAGATGAGTTATGTATGGAATACTATACTCATGGAGTAATTTCAGATAAGGTACACCGTCTGCGCATCAAGCTATCTTATTTTCGGCCGGATAAATTCGTGCGACTTCTTAGTCTAATACCAATCTTAATCTTACTCTTATATCTCCTAGTCTCAATAGATCTAGAGTACACCGGTTTGCGCGAGTTAGTTCCAGAATGAGAACAACTGTATTCTAAGTTGAATTCAAATTGTTCTGGTGTTGAAACTACAAGTAGTTTCAACACTTTACAAATAAATAGGTTGTTAGTTTTATGGAGTATGATTGGTAAGTATTTAATATTTTTTTAAGATAAAATATCATAATAATATCAAATGATAAATACTAGTTTAGATCTGGCTCCACTAGTATAATTTTGATATTTTAATTTCTCATAAATCCAAACAACAATAACAATCCTTTCAAATTGAAATTTGCATTTCTGAGAAATTGAAAAATTGCAATTGCTGACAAACTAAACAACCAACAAGCAAATGGTCTTTTTTTTATGGCTGGCCAAATTGTTTTTCGGAGCTTTCTTAAATTACTATAAAGACTTTTTTCTGGCGCAAAAAGGAAATTTTCATGGCTGGTAGCCGAACTTGGAGGTCATAAAATAATACCAATGGGGGACCCTTTGATTGGTGGGGTGGTCAAATCCCTGATAAAAATGCGACAAAATTTACTTATGCTTAACCGTTGAATTATTTCTTTATTTGGGTGTAATTTCGTTGCTAGGCATTTTAGGGGTGGAATAGTTAAAGAGATCCAATTTGACTAATATGTTTCGAATTTTATGCTGGTCGATACAATTTTCAACTTTCAAACTTTTATGCTAGTCGATACACCGCCCACCCAAGTATATATTTTTCTCACTTTCTTCGAACAAAAAATCTTGTTCTTTTTTTTCTGTTTTTTTCTCAATTAAGTGAAGAATCTGAAAACGTTCACCAAATAATTTGTACACGAGTTACGGCTCTTGGATGATTGCATATGGGCAAGGGGGTTGCTTAACACAAAGTTTTGGATATTTTGTCATTTTGTCTCTGGGGTGCTATTATGCGAATAGAATCAGAAAGCAAAAGCAGTACAACTACATAATTCTGAAATAATTTGACGACAAAGTTTGTCGCAAATTATTTTTTGAGTTTTCGTTTTTTGAGAATACCCTCTGAGTTAGTATACATATTTAGCTATGCGTTAGTTTCTATTGTATCCTTTCGTCCAGTTGCTTCGAGACTTGGAAATTTTTTGGACCTGTGATCTTCGCGTGAGGCTTCTTCTTCGCTCACCCGCGACAGCTTATCTACTTGACCGCAGTAGGTTAATTGGTCTTTTCGGCTAGGTGAGCAACGTTGGTTGTTAGTGTCAGGTGCAGGTGCATCGCGAGATAGACAGACGTTTATGTCAGGTGCGGGTATGTTACTAGCAGTTCAGATGGCCAATTTCAACTTTGAGTTTTTCAGATTTTTTCACAAAAATTGATAAGAAATTAGAAAAAAAAAGAAATATTTCGTTATTGTTTTTTTGCTTGAATAGTTTTTTATCATGCAAATTTTCGGGTGCGACATTTTACCATAATTAATCGAACTTATTTACCTTGAAAAATTAAGTCACATAAAATATTACCAAACAAAGGAGGGACTCTTTGGTTGATGAGGGGGTCAATTTTTGTAGGGGGGATTTGCGGGGGGGGGGGGGGGGGTTAATGTTAGGGCAGTAACACTACTCAATGTAAGAATGGGTAATCTGAGCCTTCAAATTTGATGGTATATATTTCATTTTTTAAGTCCAAATGGGCCCCGGGTGCCAGCATACATATGGGTGTCGTCTTCCTCCCCGCAAGAACAGTCTGAACAACAACTGGTGGTGAGGAAGGAGTAGAGAAAAGGATTGAAAAGAGCATTCACATATGTGAACACAATTGAACTCTCCATCCAGAAGTGTGAACAACCCCCTCCGCCGCCTCCTTCATCTTTAGACGCAAAGACAGACCTGAAGATTTGAAGAAATTATTATTTTGAACATTCCATCTAATTACTTGGTGACGATAGAGTTTCAAGACAAATGTTTCATTAAACTTATTTTATTCATTTTTTCACGACAATTTGTTGTATATTTTTGAGCTTTTCAAACCCACCTCCAAGCTTAGGCGGAAGTAAATACTAAAATTAGGTGTTCAAAGGATTTACAATCGATTATAATCGTGATATTTTCCAAGAGATTATAATATCTTAAAATCGGTTACAATTGATTATAGTTCATCCAAAAAGCTTTTACAGTCAGTTATAACCAATTCTAATCGAGTATAATCTCTTATTTTGCGAAACGTTTGTCGCACCAAATTATAAAAATTTTTAATTATATCCTATGGGTTATTATTTTACTGTCAGTAACAAAATCTCTAAAAGTTCATAGAACACAAAAACTTTCCAAGAAACAAAAGTTCATAGCGAACCTATCATATTAGCTGAAAGGTTAGGTTCCCGCGGTAAGTGAAAAACAATTTTTTTAATAATCAAGGAAACTAAAGCCATGTCCTGATAATTCTGTGGTTGAACAACTCTAATAGAGAAGAGATGAAAAAACAAAAACTTTATAAATTTGAATTCATTTGAAAACCTTTCTTTTTTTGATTTTTCTCATTTTTCACATAAACCAATGCTTGCAATTAACATAAGGAATAAGCAATTCAGATGCAAAATTGAAAACAAAATGGGCAAAAAAGTGATTACAATCGATTATAATCAATTACAAGGAATATTTTGTACCATAAGAAATTGGGATAGAAATAATTGATCAAAAGCGATCATAATTGATACTAAAAACATAAGGTAATAGATTATTAACGCTTGAAACTGGATGCGGGAAAAATTTCAATGGATGGATAAGCTTACTCATTTATTCACCTCTAATTTATGCATTTTAAACAAATTAACAACAAAGGCAAAATTAATTAGTATATTTTATAGAAAAAATTGAAGGCTATAATTTTATAAAAAATTGAACCTTGAAAATTAAAGACGCCGCCTGAATCAGGGGCGGACTTAGGGGGGCGGGAGGACAGGCACCCCCTCTTCAGGAATTCGACCCCCTGCCCACCCAAAGGGTCCCCCTTTTGGTACTTTTTAGGAAATCCTTTTTTGGCCGAATGGGCCTTAAATTTTTCTAAAGGCGCCTTTGGCGCCAAAATATACAAACTTAGAGGGAGAGCGCGCGCCAAAAAACGCGATTTTTTGTCAAAATTTTCCAAAAAGAGCCAAAAACTGCTTTTTCGACCTGTTTTCATATCAAAAATTTGCCTGCGCCGCAGAAAGTGGCCAAAACAGCGTGATTTTAGTGCTTTAGGAGAGCTCGAAAAATCAGTTTGGTCGACCTAAAAAAATAGGTCGTCAAAATTTTCGTGAGCATCAGAGAACGTGAACAAAAGTTTAAAATATCAAAACTGTATGTGGGGTTAAATGGTAGAAGAGCTTTTTACAAATGTTATCTTTTTAATCAAAATTACTGACCTGAACAAACACACCCAGAAGGGAAGATGAAATATCCAGAATAGCGCAACCAGCGCTGCTATCATTCTGAATAATTTTCTCTGATGAATCGAACTGTTGGCGGTTAAAGTGAGAATATTGTCAGTTTTGATGGCAATAATTGAGTAAAAAAACGCAATAATAACTCCCGGAATACAATAAGTGGTTGCAAAGAGAAAGTAGTAGTATCGACTCATGAAGCTTTCCGAGTAGTTTGATATGCAAGCGATGACGTTTTCGTGCAGCTCGGTGAACATGGCTGCCGGAATTGCGGCAACGGAACCAGCAATCCAAATAAATCCACAGACTGAAAAATCAAAAAAAACAGATGTTATTTGACTATCAATCGATATTTTAGGCATCGTAGATATCTTTTAAATAACCAGCTAGACTCCTAATCCTGGGTAATTTAATCAAAATAAGAACCTGTTTTACTTGCAGCTTCGGGTCTATTTTTTTTTTACTTTTTTCGACGCGAAGTCATGTTAGAAATAGTTATCGGAGTTGCCGAGTCATAAATCATGTCAAAGCTCTTCCAGTCGTTATTTGAGCGATAAAAAATTCAACCGGGTATCTGGCACGGCAGCCAGGTATCCGGACCTCTACAGTTCATAAAACAGTCACAGTTAACTATTTTGGTTATAATTGTTCATCTTTGTCCTATTTTTCTATGTTTTGATAAAACCAAGTCTTTTCCTTTCATCCTTTATTTTTGTGGTACCCAAATTTAAATGACTATCGTTAAGAAAAACTAATTTATATTTCGAAAGAATTAAATTGTTGTTTAAATATTAGGTATTCTCCGTAAGAACTGCTGAGATCTACGTAGATTCATGTTAGTCTGATCGACTCAGCGGTGTACATAGGGTTTGAGTTACAGTGACATTGATCAATGATAAAATATAAATAGATATATAGATCAATCAAGGTTGCGTCACGTTACTGCTATTGCAGTAGCAGTATCACATATCTCCTCGGGTGGAAAAATTGTTTTCCTTTATGCAATTAATTTCATAATATCAAAAGGAGTTTTTAGCCTCCGTTTTAAAAGTTTCAGTTTCAATTGCAAAATTTTTGTTGTTGGCTGCTATTTTCCCCGCTTCAACCTGATAGTGAGCTATTTGGCCTAACAATCTGCCTCGTCTTTGAAAAATTCGCGTTTTGAAATTTTCAGTGATAGGTTTTCCTCATCTAAAATTTTCGACTTTTTTCAAGACTCATGCAGTCTAATGCTTTGTGATGGGGGTTAATTGCTGCTACTAAGAACCTTTGGTCTAATTCGTTCATTGATCATTATGCGGATCTCGTGACAAATGGTCAACAATTCCCGAGTCCTTATCTGGATAGTGAGCTATTTTGAATTGATAGTGCACTAACCTATCTATCCAACGGGTCAACCTAGATTTTTTGTCTTGTTCCCATCTAGGGCTAACTATAGGGCTTTATGGTCAGTTGCAAGGACGATTTTTTTCCCAATAAGTTGTTTTTGTATCTGTCAGCTGCCTAAGCATGCGCGAAGTCATTTGTAGGGTATCTTCTTTCTTATATAGTTAGGTAACTAGATACAATAGAGATTGGAACCCACTCCCCTCATTTTATTGCTGCTCTAGTGTGGCCCCCAGACCATTGTGGCTGGCGTCGCATTTGACCCTTGTGTTTCTAATTGCATCGTAAAAATGTACCTTCAAAAAAGTGACAACTGCGTTTTTGATGCTTTCGAACACGGCTGTATGTTTTTCCCCGCACTCAATTTTTTCACTGATAGTTTCAAGTTTTATGTTTTTTTTTTTGGTTTTCTTCTTTTAGTATTGGTCGGAGCTTATTTGTGAGGCTCGCCGTGTTCGAAATGAAATTTGAGAGATTATTTATACTAGCAAGAAAGGATCTTAACTGCTTTCATGATTTTGGTGGGTTGAGATTCTGAATGGCCTCTGCTTTAGTGAATTTTGTCGGAATCGGTGAGTAGAATTCGAGTTCATCATCCTTCGGCATTTGGTACTCGTTTTTAATTAGTTGCCCATTCAATGGTTTCGCTTCTAAAGCCAATTTTATTGATTTATCGTTTTTGACTGATATATTATTTGGGGCAAAGAAATGGCCTAACAATCTGCCTCGTCTTTGAAAAATTCGCGTTTTGAAATTTTCAGTGCCAGTTTTTCCTCATCTAAAATTTTCAAGACATTTTTTCACTAATTTTTTATTACGAATTTTTCCCATTTCGACACAATGAGAATATCGTCCAACAAACAAAAGGTGTTCTTTGCATGGTTTATTAATTTTTCCATGGCTTTTTGGAACTCAGCCGGCATGTCTGCTTAGCCATAAAACTCCGTTAGGAACCTATAGGTTCCTGTAGCATTACTACCTGCAACTTTAAAATTGCTCTGTCGAGCTGTGTCTGCAGTCAATTTGAATTGACTATAAGCATACTTTAGGTCTAGCACCGTGAAATATAGTGTACCTTTTTTGTTTTTCAGTATCACTTTGGATCACTCCATCTATGAGTTCATCAGCCATCGGCATTTGGTACTCGTTTTTAAATAGTTGCCTTTTCAGTGGCTTCGCTTCTGAGGCCAGTTTTATCGATTTATCGTTTTTGACTGTTATAATATTTGGGGCAAAGAAACAATCACTTGTACACTTGTCTAGTTTTGTGATTTGACCTTCCGACAAAAGTTTCTGAATTTCGGCATGTACGTTATCCTGTGTTTGGATTGGTATTCTCCTCCCTTTTTCTAGAATTGGGCAAAGGGGGTATTTGCATTTTGAACTTACGATATAAATATTTTTGAAATTCCCTGTTTTTCTAACAAGTCTTTAAATTGAGTTAAAAATTGCACAATAACACGTCAAACCATGAAAGTTCCCTTGCAGCTGGTCTCTGTATGGTTTATTTTCCCACTTTTCTGTGATGGTCCAAGCCCATTATGAATCTAGTTCTGCGTTTTGTTACAAGGAACGTGGCAACCTTCATCTCCCAGCCTGCCGAACGTAGTTCTGTCCTGAGAGCCCTAGGATGGGCATCGGTTGTTTGATGTAGTTCACGAACGTGCCACCAGATTCAACTTATCTGCCGGTATAAATCGTGCTTTCTTGGATATTTATTTTTTGGAACTTGGGTCTTTATTGGCATTTGGGTCTCTGAGGAGATTGATTTTTTTGTATTCTCATTTTCTCCCAACTCGTTAGTCGCTTTCTTTCCTGTATTCTCTCGTGATGTATATCGAGATGTATATCGAGAATATTTCCTCCTCTGGTTTATATATCGGAATTGACATAACCTTTAGTTTGTTGCATGATCTTTAATCTTCCACATTCAGATTACATTTCTCCTCTAATTTTTCAGTGTCCAAAGTTATTTTGCTTACTGAAACGATCTGCACAATTTCGCGAAATGATTCGGTTTATTATTTGCAAGTTTTTCTCATTGCCAGACAAGCTTTCCGGTGTCCATATTCAAGTGTGCTTCCACGTCCATTACAGAGTGTTGTTTGTTCATTAGAAGTTGTGAATTTTTTGATGTTTTTCAGATTGAAAGGTTGTTTTCTAATAACCCTATTTGAATTTCTTACTGTTATTAGTGGCTCTTGCTTTCTTTTAAAACCCAAACTGTAATTTGTTTCTAGACCTCCAGTTGTTGCTGCGTTCGTTTTTTAAAATGCCATTGTGGTCAATTTGCTATGTTCAAAATTTTTAGCTCTTTTAAACACCTCTTCTGGTGCGAGTATTTCAAAAGGCAAGGTATCTTGTAGAGTCATATTTGAAATCTTTGATATAAACAAATTACGAACGGTTTCGTCTTCCAGATTTCTCAACTCGGATCTTGCTGCTTGTGCAGTCAATGCCGCGTGAAATGCTTCTAACGTCTCTCCCTGCTGCTGCATTCTAGTGAAGAGTTTGTATCTTCCGTATGTTACACATTTCACTTTTTGGAGTATATCCGACTAGGTCGCTTATTTCCTTGAATAAAATTTTGGATATTTTTGCGTGGGGGTTGTTTTGTAGGAATTTCTTCTTCCCTTCCGTTCCCAGAGAGAGTAATAGTCTGGATACGAGCTTCTATTGTACCTCGTTGTAATAAATGTTGTGACCAACTCTTGGTCCTCGTTTTTTTCGCTCTTGATTCTCACGTGTCACCCTGTCTCTGGTTAATTTGTCTCTGAGATCTTTTGCTGCTCTTGCAATTGCGTCTTCCTTCTCCCTCGGTATTTCAGGTCTTGGAGGTGGTTCTTCCAGCACTTTTTTAGGGCTTCAGCCATAATCTCTGGATTAACATTCCTTGACCGTAACCGCCATTAGAAAATGCTCTAGCCAAATTTTGGATTGCCAAGGTCAGTCTGAAATAGCTGATACCCCATATCAGTACAATTTACCTGAGCTAAGAATCCTGCTGGCTGTGCCATTTGATATCCTACAAGACTATCGTTAAGGAAAACTAATTTATAATTCCAAAGAATTAAATTGTTTCTTAAATAATAAATTTTCTCAGTGAGAACTAATGAGATCTACGTAGGTTCATGTTATTTTGATCGGCTCAGCGGTGTACCGAAAGTTTGAGTTACAGTGACCTTGGTCAATGATAAATTATAAATTGATATATAGACCATTTAAGGTTACGTCAGGTTACTGCTATTGCAGTAGCAGTATCATAATTTTTTAAATCAAATATGCGATCATATCGATACCTTGCATAACCTTTGTTTTTTCAGTTTTAGTGTTTTAGAAGGTTCAGAAATGAGCTGCTAAGTACACGTAGAAGCCACAGTTTTCAAAATTTTCGCATTTATTTTATTTGCTCTGCCTAACATTAATTTAGTTCGCTACTTGCAGCGCATTGGCGTTAAGTATTTTCGCTACCCACCAATTGCCGCGAGAAGGACTTTGCTATGCGTTTTTTGTTCATCCAAAACTAAGTGCCTGAAAAAGTAACGTTGAGAGTTGATTTTTTTGTTTAAAAGTCAGTTTGAGGCTGTCAAAATTTTAGAAGTGTATAGAGCAGATTTACTAGCGAGTAATGATGAGGCTGAATTTGAATGTTCGCTAATAAAAACTACTAGATAGTTTTTGAAGTAAAATGTATTACCAGACTTTCTGT